ACCCTGCTCCGGGATTAGGGCGGATCCTGCTGGGATTAAGGCGGATCCTGCTGCCTCGGGCGCCCTCTACTTTGGAGTTCCCAGTTGAGTTCTCGCGGGGTTCTGAGAGAGAGAATTGGCGCGTGGAGCCGGTGGAGGCAGTGTGTTCCCGGGAAGTGTGTGTAGAGTGCCGGTGAGAGTTCGGGAATAAAGATTGCTGTTTGAACCTACAAGGCTGTGTGGCAGCTTGGTTATTTTGTGCCCAGACAGACTGCGGCATTGGGTTAGCTGCCCTGCAACTTCACCCTCTTTCAGCAGGAAGCAGTTTGGAGATTTCATCACCCATTTTTCCATAGAAATGGAATGTAAAAATTGACAATGAAGAAATGTATCAGTAGTTCACCTGTTGAATACCGTCCTGGTTGCTCTAAGGCTTATTTTTTAAAGGACTTTTTTTTTTCTTTCTCACTTCTCTCCACCTCCTCAACAAGATTAGGGAGATGGTGTTATCTTTTCTTTCCCTAGTTATCTTTTCTTTGAAAACACCCACCTCAGGAAGGAGATATCTGCCAGAGGATCTAAGAAGTGAATGTGTAACATGCCATAAGGGCACCCTTGGGACTACCTACCAGAGCACACTTGGAATGCAACCCTTGAAAAGCTTTTTAAAAGCCCTCTGTTTTCTCTAATGTGCAGAACTACAGCATCTGGGACTGGAGCTCTCTGTTTCTCCTTGTCTAGCAAAGCAATAAACTGTCTTTTCCCTTTTTTCTCAAAACCATGTCCTCATTATTAAATTGACATGACTTGGCATTGGGGACAAGAACTGAGATTTTGATAACAGTTTGATGCAAGTCTTCTCCAGCAAAAGAGCCAATCAGAAGACAACTACTAAGGGACTGATCTTGCTGAGTTCCATGTATGGCATAACCACAGGTAATGAAGTGAACAAGGAACTCATTTCATAGGCCATCACATACAATAGTGGGCTTAAGACCATGAGATATTATGGATTTTCCATGCCTTGCAATCCAACAGGAGCTGGATTCATTTAAAGAATGAATGGCTGCTGAAACAAGTGTTAAGGACTGAGAATAACTACGCAGGGATGGCTGTTCATCTGCCTGAGACACAGAGGACACTAAATGAGAAACTCAGACATCAGTAGCCTATAGTTACGTTTATTATCTCACCCAAGACCACCAGCATTAACATAATAAATAAAGGACACTTCCACTGAACATTTTTTTTAAACCAGCCTGGGGCAAAAGGAACAATTTACTGCTGCCAACTCCTTGAGACATCACATCATAGACAAGAAGTCATTAGTTGGCCATTGACTGTACACCCCCAGTACAGTATGCCTTATTGACTCCTTGCAGGGAGGGAATATCTAGATTTACAAGTAAAGCCTACTGTATTGGGAACCTGGCCCTCACAAGTATAGGTGATGTTACCTTAGGGTGTCATCACTAAGGAACACTTTGTATCAGTTTATGGCATTTACATATTCCCCCTGAAGAGCAAACAAATAGAATGGTATGGTACACTTGCCTTGGCAAGCCTATTGTGCAGGCTGCTTTACTAATAAAAGATCATACAATATCCTATGTACTGCCTCATAGAGCTGATCTGCCATTATTTTTGTCTATTAGACATTTGTCCAAATGTTAGCAACAAGTAACCTATTCCTGAATTGGGCAACAGAAGTTGCACATCATACCAATTAGCTTGATTATTGGTTCTACAGAGAACTCCCGGTGACTGCGGTGCAAAGGCTTCCCTGGGTAGTTTGAACTGGAAATGAGATGGAATGGACTTGGATAAAACAGAACTGGACTAAAACAAGATCTCTTACCTTATGCCACGTGTTTAAACAAATTAATACTTTCTTAATTACCTGAGCATGCTTGCTGGTAGGTTCTTGCTCTTTGTACTTCTGTTGTAAGATGTGGATAAAATGTGCCTCCAGAGCCCTGTCCTTGTGAAAGACATGGGATGGTCTGGGATTGTGAGGGATACGAAGGGGCTTCCAAGGGTAAACAGTAATTGGTGCCTATCAAAGCTTGCAGTGAAATAAGATCTCTAAAAGAATGTGATAAGAAAATGGAAAGGTGGAGCTGGCCATTTTCCTTCTCTCCAATCTTTAAGAAAGGATCTAAACAATGACTCTGATTGTAAAGTAAAAGAATATATCATAAAGTATCTGAAGAATCCACCTGTGCAGTGGGCATGCAACCTATCCTGTATATTCCCCCTGCTTGTAGGCATAAGATGAAAATGCAACTGAAAATGCTGAGGAAATCATATCCACCAGCGGTACTGATCCAGTGTCTCATAGGAATTTGAGCATCTGGTCACACCAGCTTCCTCAAGTCTGATAATCTTCATTGAAATATTTTGTATCCTGGCCCACTGCCACCAAGGAGTAATAAAATGTCCAAAACCTTTTCATTGTGTTCTCCAAGTTCTTTCACTGGAATTGGTAAACAGTATTCTGGGATGTTTGCAGCCCTGGGGTTGCAAACACTAAAACTGAAGGCTCAAACCTATTAAAGTTCTGCAACAATCTGCCTGTTGTTTTCATACTAAAGATCACAACTTAGGTTGAAAGCGAGGAAAATCCCCAGTGGGCAGGAAGTGAAACAAACAGGAAACAAGAAATGATAAGGGCTGAAGCCACAGATGTCTAGAGACATTGCTGGTCCCTTAAAAGTAAAACAACTTTGTCAGTCTCTTATAGATTATTCTTATATTTTAACAACCATTTTACTATCCTGAAATGAAATTCATAAATAAGAGTCTACCGGGGCTGGGGATGTGGCTCAAGTGGTAGCGTATTCGCCTAGCATGCGTGAGGCACTGGGTTCGATTCTCAGCATCACATAAAAATAAAATAAAGATATTGTGTCCACATGAAACAAAAAAAAAAAAATAAGACTCTACCTATATATTTTATCAAAGAAATAACAGTAACAAATGGGGAATAAGTGTCAATTATGATAATATACAATTCAATTTCAAAATGTAAATTCTTCACCATGACTACATTAGAAACATGATACTGTCAGATGTTTGCATCTAAACAGAATCACCATGAATTTGACAACTATAAATGCAACTGAAAATGCTGAAGAAATCATATCCACCAGCGGTACTGATCCAGTGTCTCTCAGGAATTTGAGCATCTTGATCACACCAGCTTCCTCAAGTCTGATAATCTTGATTCAAATATTTTTGTACAACTCTCCGGCAAAATTGATCCAGTTCCTCATAGTGGTAAATTTGCTTGATAATGTTCCCTTTATTGACCACCTTCTCTTCCCTCTCACTTTTTCACTTCCTTATGGGGCTCCCTGCATATCTCATAGACCATTTGTATTCAAATCATTTTCATGAATCTTGCTCTGAGAATGAGGCCTCTCTGTAGGTATCTACATGAGACCTAGACGTTTCAGTTAACAGCTGAAATTCATTTCCAGTGTGTGGATCCAAAAAAGAATTGTCTTTGACAGTCTTTTTAGTCTTCCAAGTAGCAAATAAGATTAAACCACTGGCAATGGCCCACGAGTCAAAAAAACAAAACCTATCTGGTCCCTAGGAATACTAAGGCAAGGATACCAGCTTTTAATTTAGCCCATTGTGCTTATGTTATTATCATGGCTGGTCTTGCAAATTGTCACTGGACACCATTGGCTTTTAACTTATCTGGACCATTAGTGAACCAGACCAAGGTATTTGGTTAGAGAAGTCTCTGTAAACTGAGGGCTCTGTTTTGTCAGTGGTTTTACCATGGATGGCAGATTGAGAAATATATGTTTTTTCCAAAGGAGTAGCTGTCACTTCTTCTGAGACAGGACCTCACGATGTTGCCCAGGATAGCCTCAGACTTGTGATCCTCCTGTTGCCTTGGGCTTCTCAGTAGCTGAGATAATGGGCATGTTCTACACCTGGTTTAAATTCTGGTTTTGGTTTTTATCTTTGGAGATAAGGTTTATGTTGCCCAGGCTGGCCTCCAACTCTTCAGACTCAAGCCATTCTTGTGCTCAGCCTCCCTAGTAGCTGGAACTGTAGATATGTACCACCATGCCCAGCTTGTCACTTTTTCAAGAAAAACTAAAATGACCAGGCTAACTATATCCCCACATACACCATTTTCATTTGACTAGGGAAGCCTGCTGGATCTTTTGATTAAAGTCTGCATTAGCCTGGCCCAAAATAGGGATGTTAGACCAGAGTTACAAGGTTAGATGTTGTCTCAACAAAAGCTCAATAGCAACCTTTCTTAAAAGGCTTATGTAGTGACTGCAAAGCACCAAGTAGCCCCTCCATACTGTGAAAAATTTGAGTACTGCAGGAGTGGCTGAGTTTTCAACTAAGTTTGATTTTTCTCTTTTCCTCTTGGGATTCTATATTGTTTCCAGTAGACTACACCAACCTTTGTGCAATAGTCTCTGATTGGAAACTGAAAGCATTCCATCAAATGTATAATTGATATCAATAGCACACTTTGATACAAAAGCCATAAACCAGCAGTACATTAATCAGTTTAGTGGCTCTAGGCACAAGTCATTTTAATTTCCCTTCCTATTACAAACTGATCAAGTTTAGAAAATCTATCATTGAATTGAAGTGTTTCTCCAGCATGGGAATCCAAATCAAGAAACTGACAATAGGTATGCTGGAGGCCCCAGCCAGGTATGGGGGCACATCAAGGGATAGGAGGGCTAGCCTGCAGGGGACGGTTGTGCTAATGGGAAGGCCAGTGCTGCCTCTTCCTGTTTTGTACCTGAAACAAAGGCCTCAGAGGCTCCTTTTGTTTTTTGCTCTCCTGCATGACACACTGAGCATCTGCCCTACAGTTGTTGGCATTTTTTTTTTTAATCTCCCCAATGCACAGGGCTTCCTACCCCAATGAGAACAAGTAATATGGTGACTTGAACATCTATATTCAACAGACAGAGCTATAAAAGGAGTGAAGTCTCCACCCCCCAAAAAACAACAGAAGGAGGGTTCAGAGATACAAAGGGAGAGAATAATTTTGTCAGTAGGCAAGGCCCTGTACTACCTGCTTGGACTCAACTGTCTGATGTTTTTGGTCCGGAGCTCTAAATCCTTATTGCCGCAATCATTTTCTTCACTTTGGGTAACACTTTACTTATTAGCACAGGCCTTTCAGCTGGGCCCTTGGGCTTGCTGCCTCACTATCAGAACATTCTTTCCACCTCCTGCCCAGAAGCTGGGGAAGAAGGCTGAACAATGTAAGTACTATTTGGGGAGTGTTTCAGTCTTAACTCTTTCTGCTTAGCCTCAAGAGAGTAATTGGACAATGCGGGGGTGGGGTTCTTACTGCTCCCTTCACTTGACAGCATATACTACCAGATCCCAGAAATCCTTTATCCCCTAACCTGGCCCATGAAGACACTTGTCCTTTCTCCTTTTGAAAACCACATGTTCTGATACCATTTTGTGGAGGAACGGGGAAGTGTGCCAGGAAATGAACTCAGGGCACTCAACTACTGAGCCACATCCCCAGCCCCATTTTGTTTTTTATTTAGACAGGGTCTCAATGAGTTGCTTAGTGCCTTGCTGTTGCTGAGATGGGTTGGCTTTGAACTTGCGATCCTCCTTGCCTCAGCCTCCCAAGCAACTGGGATTACACGCATGTGCCACTAACCAGCCAGATACCATTCTTGTTAATAAAATTTTCAGAGGTTATAAAGGGTCTAGAATTTTATCCTACTTGCAAGCTAGTAAGTTAGACTGCTGTTCTTTCATGATATTAGCAGAAGACAAGAGACTCCTGGATCAGACAAAAAAAAACTTTATTACTTATAGTACAATAAGAAACATGAACATAATGTTTGTGCCAGTTCCCCATGACTCCCATTCCCAAAAGTGCCACAGATGGGCCTAGATGGATTCCTCTACGGGCAGACCCTGATGTTGTAGACTCAACCCTTTTATAGTAAACAGTGCAAAACCCTGCTCACAAAGTAGTTTACTGCCAACAGAATACAGAGGAATGGCCTAGGAAGACAGTGACACATGTTGCTTTCATACAAAGCAAGAATCTTCAGGGACATTCAGGGCTCATGCATTACCTTTCCCAGTTCCTTTTTCTCCAGGTCACATAATCCAGTATTTGGTGACCAAATACTACTCACTCCTCATCAGTGATTTCCCAGAAAAGTCTGTTTCAGAGAATCTCCCTGTAAGGCCCAAAGCTCCTTCATGTCAACCAAGATCCACTGCCAAAAATTCTGAGGCCTTTACTATTGTGTCTGCGATAGACCGTAGGAAGCTGGCTGTAAGATAGCTCAAAGTTGCCATTCTTTCTTACATACCTAGTTTCTTCCCTTCTTCTTATGCTCATGTAAGTGCATGTCTGCATCTGTCTTTTTCTCTCTATATATATATGTAACTAGTTAAAATTGGGCAGAAATGAGGCTGGTTGCCAGATTAATCAGGAAGTCCTCCTAACCAGAGGAGTTAAAAACAAATAACAACAAAAAGGGGCATCTTTTGAGCAGTTATCTTTGATAGTTTTCTGTTGTTGCAATAAAATACCTAATAAGTCAAACTTAAAGAAGGAAATATTTATTTTGGCTCAGTTTCAGAGGTTTTAGTTCATGGTCACTTGACACTGTGGCTTTAGGTCTGTGGCAAGGCAGAAAACCATGGGAAGGGAACGGAGGGAGCAAACTTCTTCACAAGTTGGGGGCAAGGTCCAGTATCCCCTCCAATTAATCACAAAGTAGTTTACTACCAACAGAATACAGAGGAATGGCCTCTGTAATAGCCTAAAAAAATAGCCTAACTTCCTGCCAGTACGCGCCACCTCCTAAAAATTCCACCACCTTCCAATAATAGTACTACAGTTTAGGGAGCAATGAGCCTTCAGCGAACATTTCAGATCCAAATCAGAGCGATCTCTCAAGTTATTTCCCACTATTCAGCCAGTAACCAGTTCTGTAATTCCTCATTAACATGCAATGTTAAATTTAAGCATTCAAAACATCAGTCTGATAAGTGGACCATAGAAAAGAATATCAAGAAAATCCACGGTATTAAAAAAAGTTTATAAGAATCTATGTTGATTTTTAAGGTAGCATGGACATCAGAGGAGTTACCTGCACATAATGTTCTTTCAGCTGGGTTTTCTATTTAATAGCAGAGAAGATTGTTAATGGGGACAGGATATATTCTATAAAATCAGTGACACTGCAGCTTTCCCAGATGATTTCCATCAAGGAGACAACGGGATGTATAATGTGGTTAGTCTGGGTGGATATAAGGTAGAGTTGGTGAGAGGGCTGTAACCGGAGAAGGAACTCAGTTCAAAAGAAATACAACTTTGGGGCTGGGGATGTGGCTCAAGTGGTAGCGCGCTAGCCTGGCATGCGTCCGGCCCGGGTTCGATCCTCAGCACCACATACAAACAAAGATGTTGTGTCAGCCGAAAACTAAAATAAAAATATTTTAAAAAAAAAACAACAACTTTGTGTGTATGCAAACAGACTTTGCACCTTTTATTTCCCAAGGTTTTTCTGAAGCAGAAAATACTGTTTCTAAAAAATAAATAAAAATATTACAAACACTAAATAAGCATTAGCAACTGAAATTTGTAAATAATGAAAAACACTGGTGACCTTCTCCTTAGTGGTACTAAGTGTAGTTGGAACTGCACTTTTATAAAGCTGGAGGAACAATATTCCTAAAGGTCACAGGATCTAGGCAAGGCTGAACTCTTCTCGAACTAGGCTGCAGAAATACTGTAAAAAAATTTGTTTGTGTGTGTGTGTATGATGGAGAATCAAACCCAGGACCTCACACATGCTAGGCAAGTGCTCTAGCACCGAGTCTTTTTATTTTGTGACAGTCTCACTAAATGGCCCAGGTTGATCTCAGATTTGCCATCCTCCTGCCTCAGCATCCCAAGTAGCTGGGATTACAGGCATGCATCAATGCTCCCTGGTGATGCTCTTTTGTTGCATAGAAACACAAACTCTGGTGCTACAATGGGATCTATTAAGTGATGTGTGACAAATAATTCAAGTTTTATGTCTCAGCTTCCTCATCTATAAAACAGAGATAATAAAAGTACCTACCTCTTAGAAGTACCATGGGCTTTAGTGAGTTAATACATGTAAGGTACTTGGAACACTTCCTGGGACCAAGTAATGAGTGTTCTTATTATTCTTACCAGAGAGCTACGAGTTTCTCAGTTATGGGTTTTCAGGGCTCTATGAATAATTAAACAGCCTGGAAATGAAAAAAACCTACAGTAGTAGAGAAACTAATAACACTTGCTGCTCTGTTCCTTCCATCAAGACTATGACTCATTTTTTCACATCTTCTTTCCTTTTATTGAAAAAAATTTTAGAAAATGGCAATTAATAAAGGTCGCAAACAAATCAACAGGGATATACTATGGAAAACACACAATATAAAATTAAAAATGCCACTGGCTTCTTCAATTGATTAAGAACACAAAATGTGTTTTTAACAGGCAGGTCTTTTTAGACAAATTTAAAAGCTATATTTTGTGGGTTTTTGGAGTTTCCCCAAGTCAGATATATACACACCCACAAAAATGGTGTGTGAGGAAAGCTGTCATACACAAGAAGTTATATCCTGAATTCTTTAGGAAACAGTTGTTGAAACAGAAATTAACATGAAGTCAGCAACAGGTTAACAATTTTTTAAAATTGAGTCTTCAAATGCTGCATGTGGGCACAAAGCTATACTATAGAAAGTACTACTACGTACAAAAAAAAAGTTTTATACAGCTTTTAGCAAGAATGCTTTTCCAAAGCAAGTCAAAACAACACAATCAGCAGACCAAGGAAGCTACAGCTAGAAATAAGAGCTACAGCTTCTTGTATCTGTGCTAGAAAATCCTATTTTTCCAGAAGAGACTAAAATTTCAGGACAAAAAGGGACATTTTAAACATTTCTTACTTTACCCATTTTAAGTTCTGTTTCTTCCCCCACCCATCCAGTAATTCAGCATGATCCAGCAGAAAGAGGGCCGCTTTTAGAATTGGCTATTTTATTTTTCTTTCTGAGGCAAGACTGTCATGGAGCCTGGATATTTCAGGCTCGTATGCATCCATGACCAGTGTCCCGCTGTGGTCAAAAAACTTGGCGATAGACTTAGTGAATTCGGCTTCCCGCTGCTGCTTTGTTCTCCCACTGATGAAGGTCAGTTTCAGTGTATATTTGTCATCAAACCTAAGCATCAGGGCAAAAGACAGAATATCAAAAACAAACACATTTTAGAAGATATTATAAAATATTATGCATACTGCTAAGTGTGATGGTAGTATTTTCCTAAAGTTATCTGTGGATGACTGATTATGATATCCAGGATTTGTTTCAAAATATTTCAGTAAGAGAAAAAAATGCTACATGCTTATGTCACAAGACTGGAAAATGCAGACAGTTACAGCAACTGGGAAATAAGCACATGGGAATTGTGTTATTTTGATTTTTCTGCATATTTAAAAACATGTATAATAAAAAGCTTTAAAATTGAAGAGAAAGGGAAAAACAAACAAGAGCACAGATGCAACCAGTAATAATAGAGGCACCAAGTATTTCTGAAAGAACAAGGTGGGCACTGGTGATACAGGGAACATGCAAATACTTTATACTTGGGCCCAAAACTATTCTGGGAAAACCTTCTCAAACCCTCATCTGGGTTACATGTGTCTCCTTCTTCTTCCACAGCACCATCAATTAATATTCAATTCAAATACTAACCCTTCTTCTTCCATCAATTAATATTCAATTCAAATACTAAATGCCTATGATATTCAGTTTTAAAGATAGCTTCCATGCTTTCAACAAAATTATCTGTACTGAAATGAGTTTGTGTATTTGTGTTTTTCACTAGATTGGGAGATTCCTGAGGGCAAGGATTTTTGTCTTAACTGCTTACTATCATCAGCATGGCACTTGGGTAGGCAACCACATTTTTCTGAATAAAGAACCCTTGCTATCAAGGAGGCTCCCCAATTCTAGGGTGCTTAGCCCTTGCAATCTGTAAAAATTGAGCTCTAGGTTCTACTGACTCCACACCCACTGCTTTACTTCATGAACTCCAGAGATTCCTGTTATACTTTAAGGTACCAGGAAGGTCTTTATTATTTCTACCCATTAAGAGGATTTAATGATACCATTTTCTGGTAGGCTGACACCCCCTCACCACCTGCTTCTGTACACTTATTAGGGCACATTCAGTGGATTATCATGCAGGTATTATCCTTAGTTGAAGAAATTTCTTATACACCTATTTCTGCATGCTTAAAACAGAAACACTTCCACTTACTTTAAGGATTACTATCATAGTCAGAATGGTACCTACTGTTTGACCATAGCCTCCCAAAGCATAAGTCTTCAATAAGTCGTTGGACATTATCCCAACTTGGATAATGACTAGTGAAGGCTCTTGAACTATTTTAATCGCCTCAAAAGATTTTTCTCAAGCTCTATTCACTTGTTGTTAACTGAATCACAGTAATTTTTTGACTTCTGGGCCCTGTTTTATTAGCAGTTACATTCCTTTGATGGCAGGACATGATCTGATGAATTGTAACCTGATGCATCTTAGAAATAGCTATCCTTAACTCAAACATTTATTGAGCACCACACCTAGTTTTAGACACTAAAAATATACAGCAATGAACAATATATATAAACCTCTGCCTTTTGGGGATTTTCATTATAGTGTGTGTGAGGGGACCAAAAAAAAAAAAAAAAAAGATGTTCTTTTAAATATAACAGGGCAGGAAGCTTCACTAGGCAAATGTTTGAGCAGAGCCCAAAGAAGGCAAGAGAATGAACTATCAGAGAAATTGATATCCCGTGTAGAGGAAGCTACAAGTGCAAAGGCCCTTAGGCAGAACATATCTGGAATAAAGAGTAGAAAAGGGTCTTGATGAACAGAATGAAGTGGGAGACAATGACAACCATTGATTAGGGGTACAGACAATAGATACATATTAACTTCTAAACCACAGTTAGAAAGTTAGCTTTTTCTCTACATAAGAGTTTTGAGCTGAAGACTGAGGTGATCTGACGTTTCAGATGGATCAGTATGACTAGTTCAAGTACATTTCAGTCATTCACACAATAAAGCTTTCTATACATCTAAACTGTGCCAGGCCCTAAGCTAGCTCTGAGGACCTAGAGTTGAGACAATCCCTGCCTTGGCTTAAGTATCTAGTATGTAGTGAATGGTAAAGGGGCTCACACTGCGAAGGAAGAGGGCCTACGAGGAGACAAAGATAAGCAATATAGTTCCAAATGACCAGGGTAACAGAGATAAGCATAAGACGCTCAAGAATACCTAGGTGTACCTAACCCAGACTAAGCTATGTCAGGGAAGACTCCTTAGGAGGATAACAAATAGGAGGCAGGTGACAGATAATCAACCCAGAGAAAACAATCTTGATTGAAGGCACAGGGTCAACTGGAAAACTCAGCAAATTAAAAACTCCATGATACTACTAGAGTAAAAATACATGTTTTGAGAGGGGCACAAAAAGATATCATGAAGGACAGATGCTGAAAGACTGCACATGCTAATGGAGTTCAGGGTATTTAATAAATGTGCTGAGAAGCAAGTAAACTGCAGAATTCTTACACAAGTCACAAAGCTTGTATAAATCTGAATACGGCAAATGGTGGTCTGTGAAACCTTTCACTGCCATTCCATACGGCAGTTATGGAACAAGATGTCAGAACCAGGAACTATTAAACTACTAGAAGAAGAATTGGGAGGACAGAAGAATTTCTCCACCAACAATATGGCAACTGGCAAAAATGAGAAGGGAGTACAGAAAAATCAGAACCTTAATATAGTGCTAGTGGGACTGTAAAATGGTGCAGTTACTTTGTTAAATAGGTTGGCAATTCCTCCAACAGTTAAAGAGTTACTATATGATTCAGTAATTCCTCTCCAACAGAAATGAAAGCATATCCACACAAAAATCTGTACACAGATGTTTATAGCAGAATATTCACGATAGCCCAAAGATGATGACAACCTAAATGTCACCATTAATTGATGAACGGGTAAACAAAATGTGATATATCTTTGCAATGGGATATTATTCAACCTTTAAAAAAGCAATGAAGTTCTGAAGAAGGCTACAATGTGGCTAAACCTTGAAAACATTATGCTAAATGAAAGAAACCAGTCACAAAAGGCCACACAGGCTATACATTCTAAAATTTAATTCACATTAGATGTTCATAGAAAACATTTACATAGTAAGTAAGTAATTGGATATTGCTTAAGGTTGGGGGGAAATGGGGAAATAGGAGGTAATAGCTAAAATTTATAGGATTTTGTTTGAGGTAATGAAAATGTTCTAGGGTTGACTATGGTAATGATTGCAAATAACTGTAAATACACTATAAACTAATAAAGTGTACACTTTGGGTGAACTGTATGGTTGGTGAAGTATATCTCAATAAGGCTGTTAAAAAAAAAAAAACATGTCAGAATAAAAATAATGAAATCAAGATGTTGCCAGATTCTAAAATTATGCAACTCTTCTTCAGTGGCCTGGGAAGAAGTTCAGATTCACAACAGCTGAGTAAAAAAAGAGCTAGAAGCCCTGCTCCAAGGATAAGCAAGAACTCAGCTATAACATCAGAATGAAGGTCTGCTCCCCTTCTTCATAGACATCTTCACAAATCAGCAATGAAAGAGAGCATTTATTTGGTGCTGATGCTATGTTATCTTCATATATGTGAATAATTGTAACTTCAGGACCTACTTTTAGGAAGTATACCATGTATTTTTAGTTAATGACAAAGGCATGACTTCTGGACTTAAACCAGGTCTGGAATGCCTACTCTAAAACTTCTGGATTACATGATGCTAGAAGAATTAATGTAACCTTTGGACCTGTGTTCTTATCTATAAACATATGTTCTAAAGTCTATTTAGCACAATACCTGAAAAACAATAAATGTTTAATAGACATTTGCTATTATTATAACTGCTATCATATCTTCCCAACAACTCTAAAGAGTCCTTTTTGACTTCACTAAAGGCACATCGTTTATATGATTTATCAAAATCATTGAGAAACAGACTGAGCTGGCACATGGATTCCATTCTGGGTACTTACATGGACTCTGGACTGTATTTTATAAAGTCATACAGAGCAACGTTCCAGAGATTCTTGACAGCATTTAGTGTGTAGTCAGGATCATAGAAGGCACAAAAACTAAACAGAGGTTTTTGCAAAGATAACTGATCTCATACCTTTGTCATTTGTTAACTTGTCACAAAGGATAAAATTCTTTATCCTTTCACTAAAATACTTTCTTAGAAAGTTTATCCTCAGAGGATTTCTGTGATAACCCAATCTCAGAACTGCAATGTTAGAAAAAACCTTTTAGATCATTCACATCCCTTTCTTCATTTTACATCACCAGCACTATGCATGATCTGCATAGAACACACATACAATATTTGTTGTTAATAATGACGACACCATGGGGCAAATACAACACCAGGATTTAAGAATTTATAAGGATAGTCATTACCTTTTGAGACTGGAGGACAGTTGCCAAATATCATCAGGATCCATACCAGTAGGATCTTTCCTGTGAGCCACAAGAAAGATGCTCTTCTCCTTATATGAGGTATAAATGGTCAGAATCCCCATCATCACGAAATAGGTTCAAATAAAGTTAAGGGGAAAATACACAAACAAAAGAGAAGTAACCCAAACTGACAAGAACACAAAAACTTTCATGATAGTTTTTTAAAAAAAAATTTTTTTTTGTAGTTGTAGATGAACAGCATGCCTTCATTTTACTTGTTTATTTTTATGTGGTACTGAGGATCAAACCCAGTGTGCCTTACACATGCCCTGCCACTGAGCTACTACAGTCCCAGCCCCTCATGATAGTCTTAAAGAAGATGGTCGATTTTGCCTTACTGCAAAAACACTTAAATTTTAACTATTTCATTTTCATCCTATGTTTATGTACCAAGAGAAGCAAGGCACTCTCTGATAAATCCTCCAAACATCTCAAAGTCTGTTAAGACTTTGTTATAATTTGTGCTATTTCTGTATTTAAAAAAACACAATAATCACAATGGACTTGACCAGGTTCCACCAATCTCAAAGGTAACTAGAATAAAAGTGACTTCAAATTAGTTACACTGTACAATTACTATTACATTCAGTTAACAGCATTGCCCACCATATCTGACAGGTACTTGCTGTACCTGGCCCAAGAGCTTTGTGTCCATTGTAATTAAAATTTCAAAAATAGGAGTCATGAAAGTATAGTGCAAAGCATATAGACTCTAGAGTGAGGTGATCCTAAGATGTGAATCTTGAAGGCCTTCAACGAACATAACTGTGATAAATTATTTTTTCTTCCCCAAGTATTCTCACCTCTTTTAAAATGGGGATAATAGTGACTTTTTCGAAGTGTCATGAGGTTTATACATAAATATATACATATATATTGCATCTAGCACACAGAAGATATTTATAATAGTAGTTACTACTATTATATATAAAACTGACTTGATCTTGCTTTGTTTTAAACTCATATCGAGATAATCATACTGTCATATGTAACTAATTAAAACAAATTAAAAAAAAAGACTGAGCAATAAAAAAAACAAAATTCATATAGAGATGATTGATCTGGTTACTAAAAGGGGTCAGGGATCACATACTGCCAATTCTGTGGACTATCATTTGACACCAATTATAATAATACCATTTTTGATCAGGGCCTGCTTATAATATATGACTTGCTAACTACCTGTGGGGGTAGAACCTTTTAAAATATTTCAGGTAATGGCAACAGTGTTTAATAATTTGTTTGAACTAGTACAATGATAGCACACAGCAGACATACAGTGACTATTAAAAATCATGTAAAGATAGGAGTGGTGGCACATGCCTATAATCCCAGAGGCTCAGGAGACTGAGGCAGAAGGATTACGAGTTCAAAGCCAGCCTCGCAACTTAGTGAGCCCCTAAGGAACTCAGTGAGACCATGTCTCTAAATAAAATACAAAAAAGGTTTGTGGTCAATGGTTAAGCGCCCATGGATTCACTTACCCAATACAAAAAAAAAAAAAAAAAAAAAAAGATATAGAGATGCATGTACTAACATGGAAAGATGTCCACTATACTTTTCTTAAGTTAAAAAATAAAGTATAGAACAAATACACAGATGGTTTGGGTGAGAGGACCACATTAAAAAAAAGTTTCATGAACATAACTTTTATAGTAGTAGTAACAGCACAATAAAATTTCTTTGTTTTCAACTTCTGAGAAATAATCAAGCTGGGTAGGTAAGGTCACAACCATAATTCTAAACTTACTATTAAAAAGGAGAGGGGAAATGCTCCTCAACTGACGATGGAATTATGGAAACACTGTTAGGTCAAAAATGCATTTAATATCCCTAACCTACTAAACATCCTAGCTCAGCCTAGTCTACCTTAAACTTGCTCAGAACACTTACGTTAGCCTGCAGCTAGGCAAAATCATCAAACAAAAAGCCCATTTTGTAATAAAATGATGAGTATCTTGGGTAATTTACTGAATACTGTACTGAAACCTTAAAAAAAAAAAAAATCCTTTCTTTTTTGCTGTTTGTTTCAGCTATAACTTGAAAAATCAAAAAATCTTAAGATTGCAGGCTGGGGTTGTAGCTCAGTGGTTAGAGCTCTTGCCTAGCATATGCGAGGCATTGGTTTCAATCCTCAGCACTACATAAAAATAAATAAATAAAATAAAGGTATTGTGTCATCTACAACTAAAAATAATTAAGAAAAAAAGGAAAATCTTAGATTGGACCATTTAAGTTAGCAACTATCTGTATTCCATACCAAGTCAATTATAAAATCTCTCATTTAATTTTCATAATTCTGAATATTAACCATAAGTGAGATAAATTCAGTATCAAAAATTTAATTTCTTATTATCACAAGATTACACACACATAAGATTTCAAATTATATTCTGCAGTTCCCCCCAGGTTCTTAACTCTACTGTAACACAAGTCAAACTTATATCATAGTCAGTAGCTTCCAGTCCAGCCCCACAACTTCAAGGAAACTTGTCTTCTGACTCTCCAAACTCTAATGCTTGTCTAATATTCTGTGTAAGTGGCTTAAAGCAGCCTAGTCTAATGGGGAAAGTTTTGGGCTAGAAGTGAGACAAGCTGGGTCTCATTATTCCTGTATGTACTGCTATTAAGTGCTCATATTACAATTATAAGAATTTCTACATTAATAACTAAAATGAATTACAGATAAAACAACATATTAAGCCTAAAATATCAAAGATGCTAAACAAATTTAAATGCCCACAGCTTATTATTTTAAATTCTAACATAAGCAGATACCAAGAAGGAAAGTTTTTATGGGGAACAGAGAGGAATATCTCTCTGTAATATGTAAAGACTATTATAAAGCCATATGTAAAGACCGTTAGTAGAAAACAAACCTGATAAGTAAAGGATATGATATGACGCACAGGGCTAAAACTGGCTTGGACTCTGGAAAGGGGTGCATATAATCCCAAATCAAAGCCACTATGGCAAAAAAACAGGAGATGGTACAGATGGTGAGGCGACCGTCAATTAGCCCAAAATTCTCCACATACTTGTACTTTTCCAGAAGTACCTAGTGAGAAGAAAAGGAATCAAGCTTCAGGAATGTTTTCTTCATGCTATGTGCTTTTACTCTTGATTTCTATGAAAAAGTTGTTAAAAATTATATGAATTAATAAAAAGTTCTCTCCAACAGGTATTTTACCATTCTAAACAAAGACAACTTAAGTCATTTATAAAGGATCCTAGGTAAAAAGTCCATTAACTCCTTACAATATATATATTTTTAAATCCTCAACTTTCCCGATAGGATATAGTTAAAACTTTTCTTTTCCCTTTTCAAATGGAGAAATGACTAACCATGGATAAATGACCAATCTTCTCTCAATCTTTTGTGCTCTAAGGGAATTAATCTCAAAAACAATAAATTACCAACTTTTCTGAGCTAGTCAACATTCACATTTAAAAAAAATTTTTTTTAGTTGTTGATGGACATACATACATTTATTTATTTATTTATATGTGGTGCTGAAAATCAAACCCAGTGCCTCACACATGCCAGGCAAGTGCTCTACCACTGAGACACAGCCCCAACCCCAGCCCCAGCCCCAACATTTACATTTTAACATACACCCCCCATCCCCAATTATTCTGTAAGAGTTCTGGAAACTGCTGTATGCCTTATTTTCTAACATTGAAAATTAAGGATACTTCAAGTTAACAGAGTAAAAAGATCTTCAGGAAATGGGCTGTCATCTGTATACATGCTCATGGACCCTCAAGAAAGTACCTTTTTGGCAGAATCATCCAAAGAGTTTTTCACAGCTGATCCATCCCATTTGTCAATTTTTACAGGCTTATCATCAATTTTCCACTGTAAAACAAAGAGAAAAATTGTTCATCAAGAAACCCGACATCTCAATTAAAATAAAACAGGCTGCTTTCTTAAGAGTATCCTCAAGTATACATAACATTTATTCTTTGCCTTTTGATGATGGAGAGCTAAAATACAAAAAACAAAACAAAACAAAAAAAAAGAGGGTGAAGAAGAGGAGACTAGGCCACTAGAATCAGTCGGTACTTCTGACATTCATGTGATGTTAATAGTCTCTAAGCAGAGAAGTCAAAATCTTGTACAAGCCCAGAACCAGAACACTTACACAGGCTAGTCTCTGTGAGCGTGTAATCATATTCTCCATCCCCATTTCACTCAAATGTGAGTAAAGAAAAGAATTCCATTTGTTCATCCTTTCATTCTGTAACCACAAAACTCAGAAAATACATGCAGGAATTTATACACTAAACAGAATGGGCAGGGTTTCCTTTAATAAATACTTCTTTGTCAGGGGTGATAGTACTTGCCTAGCATGTACAAAGCCCTGGGTTCAATTCCCAACACCATCACAAAATATAGACAAAAACAAGTAAAAAATAAACAAACAAAAAACCCCCATTAGTTGTCCACTAACAACTTTTACATTTTAACAGGATGTCTTAATTTTAATTTTACAGCATGTACAGTAATCTAGTGCAATCTGTTAGAGCACTAAATTTTCAATCACAAACCAAGTCCCTGACCCAGTCCCAGCATCAATTAGTTATGTGACTTCGGACAAACCTGCTTTAATTTCGTTATAAACAGAGGTTTAGAAAAGTTTTCCACATACTGCTTGCTATTCAGAGATAAGTGATGTTTCACATGTTGTGAGCAGATGTTCAAAATATTATAAGATCTACAAGTGAATTTAGCTACCTGGACTCAACATCCACTTCTGGAAATTTTTCTATAACTACACACATATGAAATAATATATAAAGCTACTCACTGCAACATTATAATATATAGCTTTATATATTATTTACATATAATATAAATAATATATTTTATATTATATATAAATATACAATACTTATATATAATATAAATATTATATATAAATATTATATATTTTTTCATAGAAGAAAAAAAAAACTAGAAGTAACTCAAGTATTTATCTAAATGGGGCTGATTAAATCAACTATGGTACATCCAGATATCCTACATGGGTAGAGAGAAGGAAATGGGTGAAGAGTGAGCCACTAAAACTTTTAAAAAACATATGAATGTATTATATGGTTAAAAAAAAAAAATCTCAAAATTCAACAGATTAAGTGAATGCAGCTTAAGTGAAACAGAGTGTTTATAAATAATGAGAAATCTTGGATAGATCACATTAGCCAACATTTAGTCTTTTTTTTTTCATTTTTTTATTAGCAACTCTTACTTAAGATAGAGTAAACAAATACTGTATTTCATAAAAATTCGAAATTGATTTGGCTTCAGAATGGATTAGTTTACTGAAGAACAGAAAACATTTATATCTTATCAACTTTTTAAAATTGGACTGTGATTCTATACACCAGTACACAAAAAGAACTGTTCTATAAAACTTGTTGAGGGGAAAAAAAACCCATGAACTAGAACAGTCATGCTTAAAAGTGATTAAGTCAATCAAAAATTTTCCCTCTGGTGCCTTATAAAAACAAAATTTTTCTTTCAGAACATTACTCATGATAGCATATTGCAATACTGATTCTTACAACCTGCCAACCTACAAATCATACACAGTATCAAATTCTAAAAATACCAATTGAATCATGAATTATAGGGCTTTCTAGCTACATAGCTAGATCACAGGTACTCAGTCAAGTAAACCTCATTTTGATAACCACAAGCAAAAGAAAAGACCTTGCAAATTCACAATAAAAATTCAAAATAAAATTTATGAAATAAAATCATTTAAAAGTTTTAAGTAGGGCTGGGGTTGTGGCTCAGCAATAGAGTGCTCACCTAGTACGTGCGAGGCGCTGGGTTCAATCCTCAGCACCACATAAAAATAAATCAGACAGAGAAAAAAATTCAAGTAAAAGAGAAGGCCTCTCGAGCTAGTCAGACAGAGGAAACAATTCAAGTAAAAGAGAAGGCCTCTCGAGCTAGTCAGACAGAGGAAAAAATTCAAGTAAAAGAGAAGGCCTCTCAAGCTAGTCAGACAGAGAAAGAAAGTTTAGAGCAGAAAAAGCCATCAGGGGAAAAGTTACAACAGGAGACTGCTACTAACACCTTTCTATCACCAGAGGGCGTAAGTGTCCAACCAACAACACCACCTCCATATGCTGGGAGGCCCCCAACCCCGGCAGTTGATAGATGGGATCCTGAGACAGGATCTCAAATATTAAAATGCCCTGTATTTGAGGCAGGAGGGCAGCGAATTCACAATGCTTTAAATTTCAAAACAGAGAAGCAGCTAAAAGAGGCTGTAACAACCTATGGTCCTCAAGCACCCTTCACTGTAAGCATGGTCGAATCCATTAACAACTTGAACATGACGCCAGAAGATTGGGCTAATATGTGTAAAGCTGTGCTAAATGGAGGACAATACCTGTTATGGAAGGTTGCCAATGAGGAATTGTGCATGGAGACGGCTAGGCAAAATGCAGCAGCTGGTTATCCTCAGAGAAATCTAGATATGTTGTTAGGAAAGGGACGTTATGAGGATCAGCAGCAACAAATTGCATATGATCCTGGCGTATATGCACAAATTGCTGTAGATGCGGTTAGGGCATGGAAGACTTTACAAGGACATGGAGGTTTACAAGGTCAATTATCTAAGGTAATACAAGGAGCTAATAAACCTTACGCTGAATTTGTAGATAGGCTTATTCAAACAGCTACCAGAGTTTTTGGGAATACATAAGAAGCAATGCCATTAATAAAACAACTGGCTTATGAGCAAGCGAATCGTTGGTGCAGAGAAGTCATTAGATCATGGAAACATGAAGATTTAAACACATATATTAAATTATGTAGAGACATTAATGAACAAGGGCAAGTCGTGGCAGCTGCAGTAAAACAGGTTTTAGATGCCAGGCCAAGAATATGCTACAATTGTGAACAAACAGGACATTTTAAAAGGAATTGCCCCATAGGAGGAGGGTTTAACAAAACTTGGTATCAAAGGAGTAGAATACCGGGTACTTGCCCACAATGCCGTAGAGGGAGACATTGGGCTAATGAATGCCGTTCTCAAACCACCATAGAGGGTACTCCATTATCAAAAAATGAACAAGGACCAGGTGTTTATCCACGATATCGTGGACAAAGCATCAGGCTCCGTTGCCAAAAAAATGGACGGGGGGGCCCAATGCTCCGGGGCCCAAGACCACAAATATACGGAGCACTGGAGGAACCCAGCAACCCCATCAGGGTAGTGCCAGGACACATTGTCCATTAGATCTCTCATCAGACAAACCAGAGGGAGCGCAGGGTTGGACATCTGCGCCTCCACCAGAGCAGTACTAACTCCAGAGATGGGAGTTCAAATCATTCCCACAAGGGTAAAAGGACCTCTTCCCCAAGGAACAGTAGGCTTATTATTGGGACGCAGTTCTTCTACTCTAAAAGGACTTATGATAAGTCCTGGGGTAATTGATCCCGATTATGAAGGTGAAATAAAAATTATAGCCAGTTCTCCAAAGGGTATATCAGTAATTTCACCAGGAGATAGAATACCATAGTTACTAATAATACCCAGCCTACATGATAAATTTTCCAGTCATACTATAGAAAGAGGTTCCAAGGGATTAGGCTCCACAGGTGTAGATTGGGCTATGCTTTCTTTAAATTTAGATTCTCGCCCATGCTAAAACTAAATATTCAAGGACATGAATTTAATGGGCTACTGGATACAGGTGCAGACCTTAGCATCATCTCTCGTCAAGAATGGCCAAAACACTGGCCATTACAACAAGCCACTCAAATGCTTCAAGGCCTAGGAGTGGCGACTAATCCCCATAGAAGTGCAATGGTATTAGATTGGAAGGATCCTGAAGGATGTGAAGGAACTATACAACCATATGTATTGGATCATCTTCCCGTAAATTTATGGGGACGAGATGTCCTAGATCAATTAGGTTTGACATTAACAAATAACATCAACCAAAATGCACCACTATTATGACTAGACAAGGTTTTAGGAAAGGAAAAAGATTAGAAAAACAAGAACAAGGTATAGCAGCACCAATACAAATAGATCAAGGAACGGACAGACATGGGTTGGATTTTCAGAAAGGGCCACTGAGACAATAAAAATTACTTGGAAATCAGAAAGACCAGTATGGGTTCCTCAGTGGCCCCTGACTAAAGAAAAGATACAAGTAGCCCATGACCTGGTCAAACAACAATTAGCGGAAGGACATATACAACCTTTTGTATCTCCCCATAATACTCTCATTTTTGTCATCAAAAAGAAATCTGGTAAATGGAGATTATTGCAAGATTTAAGAGCCATTAATAATGAGATGGTTATTACGGGACCTGCTCAATCGGGGATTCCTCAATTGTCTGCTTTGCCAAAAACCTGGTATGTTTTAGTTACAGATATTGAAGATTGTTTTTTTTTCAATTCCAATTCATCCTGAGGATAGTCCACGTTTTGCATTTACTATCCCTGCACTGAATCATGAAGGTCCTGATCAGAGATATGAATGGAAAGTACTCTCTCAAGGGATGGCGAACAGCCCAACTATGTGTCAAATTTATGTTAACAAAGTAATCCAGCCACTTAGAAATCAAAATCCTGAACTACAAATATTTCACTATATGGATGATGTAGTATTAGCACACAAAGATAAAACACATTGCTAGAATGTTATGCCACACTTACAAACTTATTAAAAAATTATAATCTAGAGATAGCAATAGATAAAGTACAATTAAATTTTCCAATTAATTATTTAGGAGTTCTATTATCCTCAACCATGGTCCGTCCACCAAAAATTCAAATACGAGTAGATCAACTCAAATCAATTAATGACTTTCAAAAGTTATTAGGAGAC